GTTGTGGAATGGTTTCAGAAAAATGTTCCTCAAATTAATGCCTGCATCTCTGAAGGTGTGGGGGTCTATCTGTGCTTATGGAGTGGGTGCTTGCACATCTGGAAAGATGCCTTCAGAGCAGAAAAGTAACTTTTAGTTTAATTTTTCTGTGATTTTCTGCCTCTTTTTCTGTGATATCCTGCCTTTTTGGCCTAAAGAGACCACCCACCATTGGAGAGGAACTCCTCTAATAAGCACATCAGGGCTTAGGAGGGTAGCTCAAATAAGTCAAACGATATAGACCAAAAGCAAATATGCATATTTCAGCAACATAATGCTAAACCACATACTGCCGCTAATACAGCATGCTTTTATAGTAGAAGATTCTACTTCAACTGGCTCCTTTCAGTATGGAAGAGTAGCGGCTATACCCTGAGGCACAATCTCTAATGGAGAGACCAGCCTCCCTTCAGAGAAAGGCCATTTCTGCAAACTTTCTCAAACTTAGAGGTGCTGATTCTCATTCCCACCACTTCATACTCAGCTGTAAGACAGGACAGCAGGGGGAAAAGGGGGAATTTCTTGAAATTCAGAGATTATACATAATGTCCTCATTTATTTAAAAAACAAACTGGAGTATACTCCCTGTATCCCATACAGAGGTGGCATGAAAATGCTATGCAGTTAAGTGAAGGCTCAACAAGTTAGCTTACTGTTTGTAACAATGCACCTTGTAGGACTGGTAGAGAGCAGACTCTGGGCTTCATGGTCAGTTTAACAGACAATGATGGTGGGAATATTATTAGTAGTCCACTCACTGAGCTTGACATTTATAGTAGCTTCATACTCTGTAACAGTTGGAAACCAGCCATGATAGCTCATCTAGCATCTCTGTTGGCTAAATCCATAAACAACAGTGAATCTCAGAGCAGCAGCATACCTTAGCTGATCACAGCATGTACTCAAAGAAAAATCCTACTGGCGCTCACATTGAGAATTGTTCTTATGTGATTCTTTTCCCTATGCCCACCACCCACCTACTGAATCCTACTGTCTACTGTAATGTTGGGCTACATTAATTTTTTCTGTTTACATGTTGATGCAAAGTCACCCATCTACAGTGCAGGCAAAAGCAACAAATGTAAGGCTGAGTTAGCTTAGCACAAAAATAGCTGGTAGAAATGTTTTTCAAAGAGCTGTTTTTTATTTTTGTACTCAGGGTACATTTACATCCAGTATAAGTACACATGCTTTACGTATACTTGGTCAAAGAAGTTGAATTATCTGGACGACCCTTTCAAATTTTGATTTGTCAGACCTCTGGAAAATCTTTCACTTAAGTCTTTGTTAGATGAAGTCAGCCTCAAAGAAGACAACAGCATTTCTGGATCTTTTTTT